TTTCTTTGTGTCTTTGACCTGTGTTAATAGATTTTTTTTTTTAAGATTTTTTATTTATTTATTTGACAGAGAGAGACAGCAAGAGAGGGAACACAAGCAGGGGGAGTGGGAGAGGGAGAAGCAGGCTTCCCGCCGAGCAGGGAGCCCAATGCAGGGCTCGATCCCAGGACCCCGGGATCATGACCTGAGCCAAAGGCAGATGCTTAACGACTGAGCCACCCAGGTGCCCCATGATTTGTATAATAACCTTACAGGTTAAGCCTATTATTGTCTCCCATTTTGCGGAGGAAGAAACTGAGGCAGACTGCAGTTAAGCAGCCAGCTCGAAGTCATGAACTGGTATGGCAGGAGTGGAGTTGGAACACCTCACAGCCCTCACTGGTCAGGGCAGAGATCCGAGGGGTGGTTGCACATCTTGACCAATGGTGGACATTTCTTCGGTGAGGAGGAGCCCTTGGCTGAGCTGGGCCTGTTTGTTCCAGGATGGACTGGCCAGAGCTTGGGCAGCCGACACTGCTGCTACCATCCTGAGCTGTTTACAGCTCCCTAGGACCGAAAAGTGTTTACTTTAGAAGGAGAATGTCTGGGTTTCACCACTGGTTCCATTGGCTCATCTGCCACAATGGATGGCACAGAAAGGTTTCTTGTTGGCCCCAGGTGACCTTCACCCATAAAATCAGGACAAAAATGGTCAGAAGGAGAAGAAATTATGGAAAGGAAAATAATCTATGTTTTATGAATTTTATACCTTGTCTTTTAGCAAGAAACCAAAACCACAACAAACAAGGACTTAAGATCCAGCAAGATAGCATACATTCAGATCGGGGTAAAAGAAAAACAAGGATAGGATCATAAAAATAGAGACAGGGGTTAGACTATAAAGCAGTAAGTAGGCTTTGAGCCTTTTTGCAGCCAAACCAAAAAAGGAAACCTGTTCCTCTGACTGAGGCTCCCTGCCTGAAGAGGCAGGGATTAGCCAGGGGGGTTAGGGTACAGGGAAGTGGAGGTGAGGCTCAGTTTGCAGGCTGCACCAGTGGCCTGAGAACATCTCACTGGAGAGGGAGCAGAGCATTAGTCTTTATCACAGTGTGTTGTCTAAGCTACATGATTTTCTCAGGGCTTTAGTGGATGTGTAGTGAGACTTCTCATAAGAGCTGAAAACACATACCCATTTTTATTTGATGTATCTTAGGTTCCTATATGCTTTGATCCTATGATCTTTTTGCCATAAGTCAGGACCGTTAATTTCAGCACCTGTTTAGCAAGTATGTCACTGTGCTGTGTGTGGGGCTAGAAACAGCTCAGTGCCATGTTTCCTGTGGAATAATGGTTAAATCACCATGTACTTTGGTTTCAGACCTCATTGAGATTTGCTTGTGTGGACGATCTTCTTGCATGATAAAAATTAAAATACCGTGTCTTTTACAGACATACGGATGTATAACCTTGTAGTTTATTAACATTATTATGTACCTAATTTGCATGTTTAAAATATTCCCACAAAGGAAATCCTAGGTCTTGTTTCGTGCTTCATACTGGGAACACTGAGAGCCAGGAGTAAGAAGACGACACTGGAGCCTTTTTAGTCTTTGATCACTGAGCAGTGCTCTGAGAGGGACTTATTTTGGTGGTTTGGTTTTGCTGTATTACATGGGCCATGTTGTAACATTTGAGGTGGTAGAAAAGTTGAGAACATGAATCTTGCAGTGAATCTCCGGTGTCCCTCCTTATGTTGAATGTCTACTTTGAGCTAAGCATAGTTGTCTCTGTTCTGTGGCTTCCCCTGTGAGATGTTATGAGGAGGGGACAAGGAAATTCCGTGGGAATAGTTGGCCAAACATCTCTTTCATGGGACCCAGTCGCCCCCTGCTCTCTGAAGAGCAGAAGGAGGAGAAAAAACAGGCCCAAAGGCCCAAGGCATTGGCAGGCCTGGGAATGAACCTGGACCCCAGACTCCTTCCCAGGCCAGCGCCCTTCCCTTGAATGGTCTTGCCTACTCCTCTCCTCTCTCAGGCCCAGAATGGAGATCATGCACGCTGAGGCTCCTGCCTCCGGGAAGGGCACTGAGCTGTCTTGGGACTGCCCCTGGGGCCATCATCAGGTGGAAACTGTGTCTGTACTGTATCTGTGTAGATACGGAGTTTGTAGTAACTACACGTTACGTACTTCTGGGTAAAAAGCCTGAAGGGCATACGTCGGAGCCAAGGCCTGTTCCTCTGGCCCTGCCTCCTCAAGAGACAGGGAGACAAGTCTGTACTTGCTCTGCTGGCCCCTCCCCCTCCTCTCTCTCCTGAAACTGCTACTCTGGCTTCCCCCACTCTGATGGCTGCTGCTTACCTCGGCTACCAGGGGCCTCCCTGCCAGGTTCAGTGGTATCTCCACCCTCATCTTCCTTGGGCTGTGATCAGCATGTAGCACAGATGCTCTCTCCCTCCTGCTCAGTGCACCTTCTTCTGGGCCCACCCTCTCTTGGTTCTCCTCCTTCACCTACCGCTAGGCCTCCTTGCCAGTCCCTTCTTGTCCTGAGTTTAGAACATTGTCCCAGGACTCCGTCCTCAGGTCTCTGCTCACTTCCCTAGATGATCTTTCTAGTCCCAAGGATTGAAAGATGATGAGCTCCCCCAAACATTGTGTGTCCTGCTTTGTATTTGACCCTGTTCTACCTCCCCACTGAATATACCCTAAAAAACTCAGAGAATTTTTTACCCCAAAACTTGCGCCTCTAGCAGCTTCCCCTCCCCACACCCCTCCGTCACGGGCTTCTTCATTTTCCCTGTTGTTCTGCATAGAGATTTTCCTTCACTGCTGTGTATATTCTGCTTCTCTTCTTCTGCTTCCTAAATCTCTGGGTTTCTCTCCTGTGTTTCTTGTTGATCCACAGGCCTAGGTTTTGTCTGGTCCTGCTTCTGTCTGCTCCCTGCTGATCCACTTGCCCCTTTCTCCCCCGCTATGTGTCTTCTGTTACCTTCTGAGCTCCAGTGTTTACGGTCTTGCTCTGATACTCTGCTTTCAGCCCCATGTCATGGCTCTGTATTTCCCTTTGATGGAATCTCTCTAGGCTTGGCTAGAGGCACCATTAATTTGCTCTGCGGAAAGTCCAGTTATTAGCCTGGGAAGGGCAGCCTTCGTGCAGGGACACTTAAAATCCTTCCTATTCCCAGGGAATGGAAGAGATTAACCATCCCATCCTCTCTGGTGCATTCCATAAATGGCACCTGTGACAGAGTTCCATGGTCTTTACCACAGACTGTTACCCCTAGTCATGCTCCTGAATCTCCGTGGTTCAGGAAACCTCATAATTGTCACCAGCCCCAGGGGGATAGACTATTCCATGCAGTGATCTCTACATTACAGTAAATTTGTCAGTTGATGTCTAGAGTTTAAGTTTTTCCCAAAGTTGGTCAGTTAAATATGCCTATAAAAACAGAGTTGGGTAGACCCTTTCATCTATCACCTTAAAAGTCCTTGATATTATAGGTGGAAAATCCCTGGATATTTTGTACCCTTCTGCCATGTCAACAGTCCAGCCACTGCCTAGGCTGTAGTAAATTGATTCGATTTGGGGAAGATTCCCAGTGAACACTGCTGTTATTTATTGAGAACTGTATCTTGACATTTTTCAAGAAACATTTTCACAGGCAATTCATTCAGACTGTAAGTGGAGGTCAAAATGACTTTATAGTTGGACAGCCTAAATGTTTGCTCCATGCAGCTGTGTGTATACACTGCCCATGGACTCCAGAACATCTGTTTAAAAATGTCCTCTGTATGCAGTTGACCCAGTCACCTGTTGTTAAGAAGCTGGCAATGAATCACGCATGTGAAGAAGTGATGCCCCACAGGCACCCACTCCCTGGGCCTGGTCAGCCTGTGGCCCTCTCTGCCTCTTGATCACCTCATTGCTTCTTAGCATTTGCATTCTTAAGTGGGAAGGGGGCATCAAGGCAGCTGGGGTTCAGGTTCACTACCTGTGGGCTCTCTAAGAAAAGATAAGAAAGGATGAGAACTTGAAATTCCTGTGGTTTATGTTATTGATACAGTGCTGGGATTCTAATAGCTCCTAATTCTGAAGTGCATTGTTCTGTTTGCCAGGATGACAGCCAGCTGGGTCTGTGTCAGGTGCAGGGAAGTGTCCTCTCTCTTGTGCCTGAGGAAGATGCATTTGACTGAGGCTGGCCTGGGTTGAGGGCTAAGTTTCTGGCCACAGAAGAGAGCAGGTCGTCAAAATAAGCCATAAGCCACCAACTCAAAGGAAATGGACTAAATGTTTGGACTTAGGTTTTAAAAAGAAGTCATTTATGAAATAAAACCTAGCCTAAACCTGTGTACTTTCTAAAACTGGGCATTGGGCTCCCATTGATAACCCCTCAGGGTTTGGTTCTTTTATGAATTATACAGGGCTGTTACCATTGTGGCTTCTTGTGGGGAAACTGAAGGAGAGCAGCCAGAGGGCCTTGCTTGGGTTTACACAGGATCCTCGTGTTGGAGTTGGGCCCAGATGCTGTCTTCTGGTACATGATGAGGTGGAACTCTTTGGCCCTGAGGAGCATCTGGGAGGGCATTCATGCTTCCTCCTGTCCCCAGGAGCTGTGGGGAGAGAGCTGGGGCACTGAGGCTGCTAACAAGCATCTTCAGGAGGTGGCTATGGTGCCCAAGGCTCTCTGCCTCTCACACTGATGATCCCCTGTTAGAAACCCAAAGTAGGGAGCACCATTGAGAAGGAGTTAAATATGCCTATAAATACGGTGAACTATAAAATTGGTGAACTTCCATAGATCCTTCCTCCCTAGAGAGTCTACTTGCCATTCTGTGATAATGTTAACCCTGAGTCTAGATGCTCTTGTTTTATTTTAACATTTTTAAAATCTTTTAATTTGTGTTTTTACCCAAAGCATTCACTTTAATTGCTATTTTATTCTTTCAATTAAAGTTGGTTTAAAGTCTAGCAGTTTTTTCAAGACTATTACGAATATCACCGTTTGCTTCTGTGTGTTTTCCAGACATTCTAAGTGAGGATCTTCAAATCATTTAGGAAAATGGTGGCCCTGTCCTTAAAGATTTGTGTCCGCCACTGCAATGTGGTGAAGACCATGCAGTTTGAACCATCTACAGCCGTGTACGATGCATGTCGAGTCATTCGGGAACGGGTCCCGGAGGCACAAACTGGCCAAGGTAGGCCATCGGTTATTCACTGGCTTCTTGAAATGTGTTTGTATGTTCTTTGCTTAGTAGCTAAGGAAACAGACGGTCTGAGTGGTACCCAGATGCACCAGTGTGTGTATGTTTCAAATGAAATGCCTTCTTATCCTGCACACTAAAATTGGTGAACTTCCATAGATCCTTCCTCCCTAGAGAGTCTACTTGCCATTCTGTGATAACGTTAACCCTGAGTCTAGATGCTCTTGTTTTATTTTAACATTTTTAAAATCTTTTAAAAGTGAGGCTTGTGCTGACAATGGCCACAGCTGCCACTGGGTCATCATTGTGATGCCCATCGTCCTGACCCTTCCATACCTCAGCATTGCTCTCTACAGTTTACAGGTCACTTTTTGATATGTCATCTCATTTGCCCTATAAAGTACGAATGAAGCTACTCCCAACAGTTACACATTTGTATACCCTGAGCCCTGTTTTCCATACACGCAGGCTGAAGCAGGCTGGAACTGCCATCAGGATGCAGGGCAAGCCTTATATTTCAAGGGGCTTTATAAACTTGATCAAACCCTTAAGGGGGTGGGGAGCATCTATGAATCTATGTTTTGTTTCCTGTTTGTTTAAACCACTGACCACTATTAATCTGAGTTTAAACAAAAGCCATTCATAGAATTTTTATTTTCAATTGCCCTCTCTCTTCTCCCTACATTTTCTTCCTTTATTTAGTGTTTGATTGGCACTTGAGAAATTGGGATTACTCTCAAATTAATAAGCCTTTATTGTGAAAATGGGCTGAAACTTAACTTAAAAATGGGAAGTATGAGAATCTTAGAGATAGGCATTGATCTTCTCAAAAAGATGTCACAAGACTGCCAAACTTTTGGTCTAAAAGCATTAATTATTTAAAACACTATTTTGATTTTTGGGTAATATAGAATAACAAAGTTATCCCACATTCCTACCCTTGCTCTAAATTCTGGTTATCCAGTCATTTCTGGTGTCTTGTCTGCTACCGTTTTTCTCCCAGATTTAAAAAAATTTCTCTGGCTTAGATTGCTGTTTGGCTCTGGTGAAAATCAAAACCTTTCTAGATCTTGAAGTTGTTTTTCTAAGAAACAGGAGCTCAGACCCTCACCTGGGTTTCTGAGGTTACCTTGAATCACATTCAGGAAGACAGAAGTCTTTAATTGTATTTATTTATTTATAATCTTTAAAGACGTATTTATTTAAGTAATCTCTGCACCCAACATGGGGCTGGAACTCATGACTCCGAGATCAAGGGTTGCATGCTCTATTGACTAAGCCAGCCGGATGCCCCAAGATAGAATCTTTAGACAGGAAATGATACTGCTTTTCTCCTGCCACCATGCTCTTGTACTTCCTGATCAGACTAAGGGATTTCTATGGAGAACACAGAGTTTTATTCTCCAATTATATTCATAATTTAGTGGGGTGGGGGAGAGCAGGCTTCATCTCCCTGGGCCCTCTTGCTTGCCTTTTGTAATGCTGTTTTGGGATGATGGAGGGATTATTCAAAGTGTAAAGGCTCCATGGGCCCCTCTTTGCCTAAGTGGCCTTGGGCTTAAGTGGTCACTTCCTTAGTTTCTCCGTGGCCCCTCTTGTCCTTCTTCATGGCTTCTCTGCCAGGTTTTTATATAGCAAGTGATAGGGAACAAAGTCCAATTCAGAAATTAGAAATTTGGGCTGTTCTGTTTTTGGTGTTTCCCTAACATGTAGACACAGCTGCTGCCTACTGGTTTTAAGAATCACGAACCTTCTCTGTGGGTGTTGACATTGCAGCTCAGGCCTCATTTCACCTCTTCTGCTTTACCCCTTGGCTTGCTCGTGTTGTCAAAACGAAACCTGTCTGATGCAGGAGAATGCCCACATCCGGCCAGGTCAGCAGACTCAGGGCTTGGAAGTCAGTGATGGCTTCAGTGGCACTCTGTCTTTTATCCTCTCTTCTCTTTATCTCCCAGCTTCTGATTATGGGCTGTTTCTCTCGGATGAAGACCCCAGGAAAGGAATTTGGCTGGAAGCAGGCAGAACACTGGACTACTACATGTTGCGAAATGGGGTATGTTGTAGATGTCATTTTTGGTTTGTTTTTGTTTTGTTTTGTCACCTTGTCTGTGGGCCTTCTCTAGAAGCCAACATCCTATTATGCCTTAGAGAAAAAGGGAGACCCAACAATCTGTTTTGCTCCAAGGGCATCTTATTCCTAGTTTTGACTTTGTAAGGTAGTCAGGTAGTAAGAGGAAATATTGGCAGTCCAAATTCTTGAAACTCCACAGAGTAATTAAAGCAGCTTGGGGTTAGTGTGTTCAGTTCTTTGCACATGCCATGGTTGCACTTGGTAGCTAGGGGATAAGATAGAGTGTCTTTCTGTAAGGATATAGGAAGTATCCTGGTGACCAATGATAAAAAGTAAGGGTAGATTAGAGGGGAAAACAAGAAGATCCTAAAGGTAGTCAGCGATTGAATATAAATCAGTTTTGTTTTTGTAAGTCCATATGAGATGCAAGCTTGATAACAATCAGCGACAACAAAAAGTGATTGTGTTTGGAATTAGAGGTAATGAGTAAAGAAGTGTTAAATATTGTCTTCAGCTTAACCTTGAAGATACTGGGTTTTAGTATATGGAATGCACATACCCGATTGGTCAGTATTCCTTAAAGTGAGAGTGAATTATGTGGTACCAATTAATTTTCCATTCATAATTCTGTTGTTAAATGTTTTTTTAAAAAAAAAGTCTATTTAAAAGTAACTTCCATGGGGGGTGGGGTGGGAGGGATGGGGTGACTGGGTGATAGACACTGGGGAGGGTGTGTGCTCTGGTAAGCGCTGTGAATTGTGCAAGACTGTTGAATCTCAGATCTGTGCCTCTGAAACAAATAATGCAATATATGTTAAGAAAAAAAAAAAAGAAGAAGAAGGTAGCGGGAGGGGAAGAATGAAGCGGGGGAAATCGGAGGGGTAGACGAACCATGAGAGACGATGGACTCTGAAAAACAAACAGGGTTCTAGAGGGGAGGGGGGTGGGAGGATGGGTTAGCCTGGTGATGGGTATTAAGGAGGGCACGTTCTGCATGGAGCACTGGGTGTTATGCACAAACAATGAATCATGGAACACTTCATCTAAAATTAATGATGTAATGTATGGGGATTAACATAAGAATAAAAAAATAAAAAAAAAGGAAATCATAACTCTAAATACTATTGTAAACTGTGAAGTATTACCTTTAACTTTCCTGGAATTTAATAGAAGAAAATACACCAGTGTAAAACTACAGGCAAAAAAAAAAAAAGTAACTTCCAAACCTACTACCCCTGTTTCATCTTGCCATTACTGCAAAAACCACTTTTGTGGCATACCACCACTATAAAGAGTTACGGGGGGTATTATATATTCCTTCGTGACATCTATATTAAAAATTGCTTGCAACCATAAGATAATTGGAGAAGCACACTACTATCTTTTTCAATGGTAAGTAGGATTTTTCCTCTGCTAGTTCTCATCAAAGCAGATCATCCACAGACTTTCAGGAAGGCATAAGCTACTTTAAGTTTACAGAGGTTAGTTTTCAAGAATTGTAAGCTATAAACAGTACTTGTTCGGAGGTAATTTCACCATCAGATTTTAAGAAAGCTTGTTGGAAGCAGTTACTTAGCACTGGGGTTTCTGTTTTAGTGGCAAAAATCTCATGAAAACTTTGAAGGAGAAAATCAGAGTGTGCTAGGGAAAATTCATTTTTTTAAAGAAAAGTGTCCAAGTTGATTACCTGGTTTATCAAGTTGTATGAAAATTCTGTGGGGTTTTGCTGTAGGATATTTTGGAATATAAGAAGAAACAGAGACCTCAGAAAATCCGGATGCTGGATGGATCCGTGAAAACAGTGATGGTGGATGACTCCAAGACCGTTGGGGAACTCCTGGTTACTATTTGCAGCAGGATAGGTGAGCATTCCCATGCCGAGGTTCCAGTTTTTGTTTTGTTGTTAATTACGCACCTGTTGTTTCACCCCCATTTGGTGATTTGCCAATCTTGAATGTGTCCTAGCCACTGATTTCTGTCCAATCCTAAGACAGTGTTGCTATTCCCTAGATAATGCAACCCCGCCAACTGGTATTGGAAACACTTGAACATCTCACTGAGTCGAAATTGAGAGATTTTCTCTTTCAAAAGCCAAAGGAATTTTTTTTTTGGTATATGTGCTGCCGAAGCAAGCACAAAAGCCAAAGGAATTTTTTTTAAAAGATTTTATTTATATATTTACTTTAGAGAGAGAGAGAACACGCCTGCATGGGCACGTGAGAGCGAGCATGAGCTGGGGAGGGGCAGAGGGAAAGAGAATCTCAAGCGGACTCCCCACTGAGTGCAGAGCCTGACCTGATGCAGGGCTGGATCTCAGGCCCCTGAGATCGTGACGTGAGCCAAATTGAAGAGTCGGACGCTTAGCCGACTGAGCCACCCAGGCACCCCCAAAAGGAATTTTTTAATTGAAAATACGTTTGGAATCCTATAATTCAGTTTCTTGTCCATGACTGAGATTGTGTATAAGCATCAATGATATCCAGTATTTCCTTGAAGACTGATAGGGACGACTGAGCCACCCAGGCACCCCCAAAAGGAATTTTTTAATTGAAAATACGTTTGGAATCCTATAATTCAGTTTCTTGTCCATGACTGAGATTGTGTATAAGCATCAATGACATCCAGTATTTCCTTGAAGACTGATAGGGACGACTGTACAATTGATGGCCATACAACTTTTCTTCTTGTAGCTTCTAGTCATCTCCTTTCTGCATGAAGCCCTTCAAATATTTGGAAAAAGTGTCCTGGCCTCTCTTAGTCTTCTCTCCACGCAAAGGAAGACCAGTTGCTTCAGCCACTTCTTGTTTGACCCTGTCTTGCCTTGTTCTGCATGATCTCTACTCTGTGCTTGTTTCTCGAAAATTAGGAGAATTGAATGTGACATTTTAAACATGGCTTAATTAACTCAAAAACAAAAACCTTGTTTTTGGCCAGTTATTTGATGTGCGCTTCTGGGTGGCCTCCTGACCCTCACCTTTGTAAAGCCTCTTTCTGTCCTGTGCTACCAGGACTCCTCGGAGTATCACAGGCCCCCGGCTGGAAGGAGTGACAGCAGTGTCATCACTGATAATTATAACCTAATTTATACTTTTAGGAATAACGAACTATGAAGAGTACTCTTTAATCCAAGAAACGATTGAAGAAAAGAAAGAGGAAGGGACAGGGACGCTAAAAAAAGACAGGACTCTATTGCGAGACGAGAGGAAGATGGAGAAGCTGAAGGCCAAGCTCCACACGGATGATGACTGTGAGTGTCAGAAGGGAGCTTGGGGGGTGCCTGGGGGGCTCAGTTGGTTAAGCATCTGCCTTCGGCTCAGGTCATGATCCTGGAGTCCCTGGAGTCCCTGGATCCAGTCCCGCATCGGGCTCCCTGCTCGGCGGGGAGTCTGCTTCTCCCTCTCCCACTCCCCCTGCTCGTGTTCCCTCTCTCGCTATGTCTCTCTCTCTCAAATAAATAAATAAAATCTTAAAAAAAAAAAAAAAAAAAAGGAAGGGAGCTTGGGCCAGGTGCAGGTGTGGCCAGGCCTCACTTCCCTCCCTTCACGTACATGACCCTGGACAGGAGTTTTCTGTTGGCTGTTGGTCTGTGGCACTAAAAGACTTCTAAGGGAAAAAACAGACTATAGTCCTATTTCACACCTAAAAAAAGTAATCTCTTAATGTCAAATATATAAATTATGTTCACACTGTCTTCTAAAAAAGCTAATAATTGGTTTAAACTGGGGTCCAAATAAGGTTAGATGAAGTGACGCTTACCTGTTTTTGTCTCAAACTTCCCCTCCATCTCTTTTTTTTCCCCCTCTCGGAATTTCTGGGAAGAAGAAAGCAGATTGTTATTTGTATGGAGTTTTCTACAGTCTGGATTTTGTTGACTGTGCTGTCCTCTAGCACGTACTTCTGTCTCTTTTAATTCCTGACATCTGGAAACTTGATCAGATTCATGTGTATGTGTCTGTTTTTTAAGTAAAGACTCCTAATGTGGTGTTGTGTACTTCCGTCAGAAAGTTGTATTTGGTTGTCTCCTATTTTGTGATGTTAAAAGCCATTGATGATCCATTATTTCCTTAGAGGTTACAAAACACTGATTATAGGAAAGTCCTCTTCTGTGACCACACAGTTAATATTTGGAAAAGCCCTTATCTACACCCCATGTGTCCCCAAAGTATGCTATGTGCACCTGGTTGCCCAACATCCCCCTTCATGCACAGTTATATAGACCTTCCCAGGCTCGCTCTTTCATTGTTCTTGCTGCTGCATTGGGAAGATGTTATCATGGTCATTATGTTTATTGATCCTTAGTGAGGCTTTCATTTCCTCTGACCCTTTCTTCATTCTTTTTTTTTTCTTTCTGCCTCGTTTGATTTCCAGTTACATACTTCTTTCCAAGTGAGACAGTGGTAGACAAATCCCAAGGATTTTTATAATGTGCATGATACTCTCCCAGGTACCGTGGGAGATGAGATCACTCCCACACATTCCCTGTGCTGAAGTTGCTTAGAATCCAGTGAGGCTTGTAATACTTACTCACAATGTGTGTGTTAAGCCCAGGGAGGAGTATGGGAATGAGAGCTGTGGAAAGTGTAGAGGGGTGCTCCATTCCTGTGCACCCAGATAACAGGTGAGTGTATTCTGAACGAGATCCAGGCTGGGCCATGGGCAGGGTTCTACCATCCCTGATCCCTTAGTGTCCTGTCCTGCTTCCCCCCAACCCCTTATCCCTACTGCCCCCCCCATTACTTCTATTTTCTTCTTCTTTTCTGCTTACAGGTGGAGGTAACTCATTATGCGCAGTTTATAAATTATTTCATGCAATGAGACCTGAAGTATCCACTGTTGACTTAAAGGAAAATGCTAACGTGGTTGTCTTGGCATAAATCATTAATTTTTCTTTCCCCCCATGTTAAAAATTGATTGTGGGGCCTTAACAAACTTTAGGAATGGCTGGGAATTTTCTCTCAGGTGTTTTTTGGTGGGTCATATGGCGCACGATGGTGTATGTGACATAATTTTGCAAAGTTAAAAAGCACAGTTTTAATATAAGTAACTAACTGAATATCAGCATTCCAGAAATGCACTTCTCTTTTGATAAATCCCTTCAAACCAAGAGGAAGAATACATACAGTTCTTTCGTCTGTCTTGTTGTGTTGCAGTAAATTGGCTGGATCACAGCCGAACATTCAGAGAACAAGGAGTAGATGAACACGAAACGTTGCTACTTAGACGGAAGTTCTTCTACTCTGATCAGAATGTGGACTCAAGAGACCCCGTGCAGCTGAACTTGCTTTATGTTCAGGTACAGCATTTAATGCTCACTGAGGGTGGTGAGAAGTCAGGAAGCTCCTGGCTGTGGCTTGTGGTGAGCTGGAGCTCAGCTCGGGCTTCCGTGGTGTTTTTGGCACACAGTTTCAAGGGGGCACTGTTGAGGGATTCCTCACGTGCTTGGTTGTGGTACGGACTGATGTTCCACGAAGAAAGGAGGGCCTTTCTTTGGCCTCCCAGATTGAGACCTGCTGGCCAGTACTCTATCTCTGCCTTGAGGCACTTAACGGGCTCACCACTGCACTAAAGCTCTCTTCGCTGGTGTCTTAGGATACAAGTGAATGTGGGTCAGAAAATCCACATTTCTCGGGGCGCCTGGGTGGCTCAGTCGTTAAGCGTCTGCCTTCGGCTCGGGTTGTGATCCCAGGGTCCTGGGATCGAGCCCCACATCGGGCTCCCTGCTCTGCGGGGAAGCCTGCTTCTCCCCTCCTTCTCCCCCTGCTTGTGTTCCCTCCCTCGCTATGCCTCTCTCTGTCAAATAAATAAATAAAATCTTTAAAAAAAAAAAAAAGAAAATCCACATTTCTCATTACCTGAAAGATAGTCTCTTCATAACCTTTTATGTCTTCACCATTAACCTATTCTTGAAACTCAGACAAGTCATTTAACTTCTCAGAGTTTGCAGTTTCCCAATATGTAAGACGTTGGCTTCGTACCAGATGGTCCCCAGGCTTTTTTTCAGCTCAAGGAAATCCTGCTCTTTCTTCTTTCATCCTTTCCTTCCCTCCCTCCCTTTCCTCTCCTTCTATTTATGTACTTATCTGCCCTCGGAAATAATGCGGAGGTCAGCAAAATGCTGCCCTGGCATCCCCTGTGTTTGCAAATAAAGTTTTATTAGAACACAGCTCATTCGTTTGCATGAATGAAAGGGTTTGTTGGGTAAACCCTTTCCATATCATGCAACTGTTTACTTATTGTCCGTGGCGTTTCTCGTGTTTCAGTGGCAGAGTTCAGTAGTTGCGACAGAGCCAGCATGACCCACAAAGTCTAATATGTTTACTCTCTGGCCTTTGACAGGAAATGTTTGCTAACCCCTGAGTTAGTGGGTACAAGAATGGCATGGAAGGAGGAGGGCCAGGAGGCAGAAGGAAGGAAGATAGCCAGGCACTAAGAAAATGCTTGTTGGTTTAAGTCACAGAGCCATCGCTTAGAGTATCTGCAGGAGAGTGGTCTGGGGGTCATTGAACTGGAGGAAGAAAAGACAGAAGAATAGATAGCAACAGAAGTGGTGGATCAGGAACTGGGAGAAGGACTTTAGACACCGTGCATTCCTCATTCGAGCATTGTGCATTTTGCTTATTTCCCTTACATGGCTGTAGTATTGAGTTATTATTGTCTGTCCATCTCTCTCCCCATGCCACCACCTTATATTACATTGGCTTTTATCTTGGGATGAGGATTGGGTTGATTTTACCTCTAGGTAATTTTTCTGTTAGCTTTAATGATTTAGGGACATAAGAAGTACATTGTGAATCACAAGGATTTCCCTTTGCCTCTTTATTTTTCATGATCACTTCTACCTTCCTAGATATTGAAGCTTTAGTTTTAATATTCTGGATACTGCTGATATTTTCTATCTATAGGCAGTTTGGGGGGAGGACTTGTTTTCCTTCTGCCTTAATCCTACTGTGCTACAGTGACCTGCAGTGTCCTGAGTGTGTCCCCATTGGCTGGCACTTTCCCTTTGCCCCACAGAGAGGGTGCGTTCAGATGCAGGAATGTGTCCCTGGAGAGTATGTGTGGTTCCCCCAAGCTCCTGATGCTTTTCGCTTCCTCTTGTGTTTCAGGCTCGGGATGATATCCTGAATGGCTCCCACCCTGTCTCCTTCGAGAAAGCTTGTGAGTTTGGAGGATTTCAAGCCCAGATACAATTTGGACCTCATGTGGAACATAAACACAAACCCGGATTCTTAGAGTAAGTAATCTTTTGGGTTTTTTTCCTCTTCTCGCCTCTTCTTTTCACTGTTTATTTTTGAGCCAGCTACATAAAATACATACCCTATATCCTATTTGTAATCAGTTATGAGGTTGTTCGCTCTGTCTCAGTTGAGTATATGACCAAATTGGTGGACCTTGGAGAAAGCAAAAAGGCCTGGGAATTCAACATTGGAAGGACTGTGATGGTTAGTGCTCCAAGTTCTGGCAGAGGGTGATTCCATGGCGACCACAGAATTTGTTGCACCCTGCCAAGACATTGTCCAGGCTGTCCTGGGGTATCTTTGGAGTTGAGGAACTCAGGACCTCCATCTTCTGAAATCTCTTCCCATTAGAACATTCCTTCTTCACATTAGGCCAGATTTTGTCATTTTTAATTTCTTCTCAAGACTCTCCTTTTTAGAACAAGGGAGCATAAAAGAGCTTCACGTTCCTTATTACAATCTTAGGAATTCTTCATTGCTCTGAAAGGGTGGGGTACACATTACATACTTCGCTTTTGCATACATCTGGTCTTTGGTTCACTTGCAGAAAATGATGGGGTGTTTTGGGGGAGAGCTCAGTTCTTGGAGATTTAAGAGAAAGCAACCCTACAGATATATCATGGCCTCACAGAACATGAGCCTTAGGGCTGGATTTCCTAGAAATACACAACAGGACAGGCCCAGCCACACATAGGCTGCTTTTCTTTGAAGTGATCTTGCCCTCTGTTTTGATCAGCTTCTCCAAGAGTTTTGTCTCTTTCTTCCTCTGGTAACATTCCTTTACTTGTTTCTCCCCCCACACTTTTCTTTCTTCTGCTTCCTCTTAGGGCAGATGAAACATTTGAATGAGCCCCCTCCAACACCCCCCCCCCCCCAGCAAATATACAGAGTGTCTTGACATGACCAATAGCCTGCTGTGACCTAGAGTGTAACCTGTAGAAGCTTTGGTGGTGGGACCTGAGCTGAATGCCAGCTGGGGGCAGACGTCCCTTTTCTGGAGGATATGTCAACCTGAAACGTGTTGAGTAGGGCATCACTTGCATTATGTCCAAGTATATTGAGGGACGAGGATAACATAAGTGTTTACTTGGCCCTTGACCCCACTTTCACTTTGGTGGAAAGTAATTGGGACCAGCATAGGCCCTAGAGTAAGAAGAAAATCTAACTTCTTCCCTGGCAGCAAATGTGCTTGGCCAGCATGGTGATGGTTCTAAACTGAGTTGTTACCCAAAAACCCTCTACCCTTGGGTTTAATGAATCTGAAGGAGCCTTTCCAAAGTGATGCTTTGGCCTACGATATACTGTGCAGAGAACGGCTCTACGTATGTCCTGTCACTGCCTTGCTTCTGTATTCTCCAAATAAGTCATATGGCCAAGTGTTCCTCAGGGCCCATTTCTACCCAATCAGTCTGGCTTCCTTCCTGCAGGAACCATGTGAAGTTTGCCTTGCTCTGTTCTGTGATACCCCAGATGGCTTACCTGTGTGGGGCTTCCAGACGGTATCAGAGCACTGGTATTACCCTTATAGAGTCTTCTGCAGTTTGGGGGCCCTGTGGAATGCTGCATACCTATACCCCACTAAAAATGCCCCCTGTCTTAATCTGTGGTAGCCAGCCAGGGTTACACAATCGTATTCAGTCAGTTTCCTTTTTTCTGAGATTATGGTATGAGGCTCATGCCTCTGGTGGTATGTGTATCCTTACTCAGATTCCAAATTAAAAGAAGCTTCTTATGCCTAGTGGCAATTATTTTTCCTTATGAATTTGATTTACTTTTTAATTAGACCAAGTCTAGTCTAGGTAATGAGGCATTTTCATTTTATGTAGATATTTAATTGTATACCTTATTGCATGTATTGTACAGGTAAAACTTCCTGAGGATACTCGTCTCCTCTTAATTAAAACAAAATGATGGGGTCACATTTCCCTGACTGTGTATCACTTGAAAAAGTGATCAAATCCTTCCTTTTTTTTTTTTTTAATTTTATTATGTTATGTTAGTCACCATACATTACATCATTAGTTTTTGATGTAGTGTTCCATGATTCATTGTTTGCGTATAACACCCAGTGCTCCACGCAGAACGTGCCCTCTTTAATACCCATCGCCAGGCTAACCCATCCCCCCACCCCCTCCCCTCTAGAACCCTCAGTTTGTTTCTCAGAGTCCATAGTCTCTCATGGCTTGTCTCCCCCTCCAATTTCCCCCCCTTCATTCTTCCCTTCCTGCTATCTTCTTCTTCTTCTATTTCTTTTTTTTTTTTTTTTTTAACATATAATGTATTATTTGTTTCAAAGGTACAGGTCTGTGATTCAACAGTCTTACACAATTCACAGCGCTCACCATAGCACATACCCTCTCCAATGTCTATCACCCCCCAATATTTTACTATGAAAAAAATCAAACACACAAAATGCTGAAAGAATTATACGGTGAACGCTCTATACCCATTGCCTGGAGTGGTCCTCAGTTTTATCACATACACTTGATTTAAGGTCTAAAGTTGATCAGTGCATCTAATCTTCTTTGATAACAATAAGATCCATAGAAGGCTTTGACCAATGATTACAAAGCTGTGAAGATTCGCAGCTTAAAAGAACGGAAATAGATTGTGTAACTTCCAAACCAGTGCTGGGGAAGAGTGGAGAGGATATACAAACAATGTGACCAATACAATAGGAGTTGAGAAGGGTGGGTTGTGGAAACAAACCCGGAAGTATGGTACATAGAATGTACAAATAAGAGAAAGACTTCTAAATATTAGGCATCATAGCAAATAAAAGTAAATCTAGCTCTTTTTTTTTTTTTTTAGTAAGGGTTTTATTTGAGAGAAAGGGAGAGAAAGAGTGTGCATGAGCCATGAGTGGTGGTGGGGGGCGGTGGAGCAGAGGCAGAGGGAGAAGAAGTAGGCTCTCCACTGAGCAGGGAACCCGAGGACATGGGGCGCCATCCCAGGATCCTGGGATCATGACCTGAGCTGAAGCTAGACGCTTAACCAACTGAGCCACCCAGGCGCCCCTAAATCCAGCTATTAATAAAGGTTCTCATATTGTCCAGCTCTATACTATTTCTAAAAGACATACCTACATTTTAAGGACAGAGGAAAGTTTAAAGTAAAGGCATACAGGAAACTAGTTAAAACTGGAGAAGCTGTATTTAATGTCACAGAAAATAGGCTGTAAGACAAAGAAAATCTAAGTAGAAACAGAAAAGGTCATTATAAAGATAGACTAATTTGCCAGGATGACAAATTATGAACCTATATGCACGTGATATTACTTTAAAATATTTAAAGGAAAGATACAATATAAGGAGAATTTCACATATGCAATTTTAGTGGAATAATTTAACATACTTTCCTCAGTGATAATTAGAACAAGATGAAAATAAAGAAAATATTTTAGTCAAGAGAAAGTAATGAAATAAAATCACAGAATCAACACAACCCAAAGCTGCTGCTTTGGAAAAATTAATATGTAAATCTCTGGTAAGTTTGATCAAGAAAAAAGCAGAAGTAGAAAAAGGCAAAATATAAACATTATAGGTAATGAAAATAGGACAGAGCTTCAGATAAAGAGATTTTAAAAATCAGAATGAATTGAAAGCTTGCAGCCAAAAAAATTGAAAATTGGCACAAAATGGGTGATCAGGAAATCTGAGTATATCTCTATTCTTGAAAGAAATTGCCTTATCAGTTTAAAATAAACCCCACAAAACAACAAGTGAAAATGAGGCCCAAGTTATTTTAGAGAATAGAAGGAAAGAAAATTTAAAAAACCTCCTCACCTTAATTTGGAACTAGCAGAATCAAATACCAAAACTGAATATAGACCATGGAAAACGTTTAAACTGAATAGAGATGCCCTCCCCAAAGTTAATAAAACATTGAGTCCAACATGACATGTATTTAGAGGTAACTGCAGGTTACAACTACTTTCTTCTAGGGACGTAACATTTATTGAACAATTTATGGCCTGCCTTGTGGGCACTGGGGATAGAGCAATATAAAAACATAAACATTTCTGCCCTTGTGGAACCTACATTCTAGTGCAGAGAGGCAGATAATAAGTAAAATACAATATGAGGAAAGAAAAAGATGAATAATTTCAGGATTAGAAAACTGAAACTGTCACTATTTGCAGGTGATAGGATTATCTGCATATAATCCTCTCAATCTACAGAGAAACTTCTTAGAGCTACTAAGAGTAAAGTCCCTGGAAAAGAGATAAATATATAACTGCTTATCACCACCTAGGTCCAAACAATCATATTCATACTCACCTACGGGTATATATATATATATATATATAAAATGCTCATTGAAGAACATAAATGAAAATCTGGATAAATGGAGTGTTTTGTTATGTTAATATATAGGAAGGCTGGATGTCACAAAAGCAATTCATATTTGTCTATAAATTCAGTTCAATTCTAATCACAATCCCACATATCAAGTAATGAGAAAAACAAATATTAAAAGGTATATGTACCTCTTGACCCCCTTGACCTATTTTGCTTACCCCGCAACCCGTCCCTTCTCTGGTAACCAACAGTTTGTTTCCTGCATCTATGAGTCTGTTTGTTTTGTTGCATGTGTGTATTTGCTTTTTAGCAAATACACATATAAGTGAAATCATATGGTATTTGTCTTTCTTTTAGTTATAATACCTTCTAGATCCATCCATGTTGTTGCAAATAGCAAGAGTTCATTCTGTTTTTATGGCTGAATAATATTCTGTTGTTCATGACATCTTCTTGAACCATTCATCCATCGATGGACACTTAGGTTGCTTCTGTATCTTGGCTATTGTAAATACTGCAGTAAAACATAGAGGTGCATGTATCTCTTTGAATTGATATTTTTGTTTTCTTCCATTGTTGAATTGGAATAGGTGAAGGGGATTAAAGATACACAAACTTTCAGTTACAAAGTACATAGGCCATAGGAATGTAATGTACAGCATAGGGAATATAGTCAATAATATTGTAATAACTTT